GTGGAAGCAAGAGAGGAGGGAGTTGGGAGCTATGAAATCAGATCCTGAGCATCTGTTTATCACCACTTGCATTAGGACTGCCCAGTCTACGAAAACTCCTTTAAATAACACTTAACCAAAGTATACAAAGTATACAAAGTATAGACAAAGTATAAAGTATTTGTGTCAGTGAAAGTAATCTTTGTGTCATTATGCATGCTGAATAGACCAATCCTATTAGGCAACAACACATGTTGTATAAAAGATAATGCATTTTCCACTGAAACTTAGCAATACACATGCCAAACACACAGAAGAATCTCCTATTCTCCTTAACGCCACCACAGAATGCAGTATGACTAAATATGATTAAATTCTTTTCCAGCAATAATAATAATAATAATAATAATAATAATAATAATAATAATTTAATTCAGTGTGTCTGAATTAAAACACGCACATACACGCACACCATAATAATTAAAAAATGCTGGATACCCATGATGACCGTGGAACTGTGGAGTGCAACTTGCATGGAGGGAGAAAAGAAAAGAAGAGAGTATGACTGTGCCATACATCCCTCCCCCTTTTTCACACACTGCGCTGTCGTTCTCTCAGTACACTCTCCCTCTCTTTGTCTCTCTCTGTCAGTGTGGTGTCTGCGGTGCCTCTGGCAGAAAGAGGTCCTCTTTCCAAGTATCACTGCTATCTGATAGCAAGAGAGAGAGAGAGAGAGAGAGAGAGAGAGAGAGAGAGAGAGAGAAAGAGAGATTTATGTTATGTTTCAGAATGCTAATGATGATAGAGAAAGTGTATAGTTATGACAGCTGAACATCGATGTATTTTGCTTTGCGTTTTGCTAGCTGGCAAACCAGTTTCACACAGTGATATTCACTCTGCTAAAATTATATAATAACACACACTTGCAAACAGATAAACAGTGGTTTCTTTCTCCTCCACACATTCACCATTCTGGCTTCTTAGGATGAACTATCACTCACAGAAGAGCAGCTGTGTATTATCAGTTAGAAAAAAAGAATCAAATACCTGCAAACATATCATAAAAACACTGGGTCTTTTCAAAGAGTCATAAACTGCAAAAATGTCACTGATGCTAACTATAACCTGACAATTAAGTCTAATAAGCTGTTAATTTAGGTTATTAAGTTATGCTCAATAATTTGTATAATAAGGTTTTAATAAAGTGTTTTGCAACTATCACAAGTAATAATGCAATTGATAGTCATTTTTATATAACAAATGTCCAGTTATTTAACAGCACAGTTCTGTATGAATAAAGGACCAATTCATAAACCTTTTACAAGTGTCTAATTTGAGCTTTAGTAAACAAACAACAAGACCTTAAATAATCCCTTATATGTGTTCCTTAAAATAAAGTGTATCAGTACCAGTATGCCTAAAAATAAGGTATACCACCCAACCCTGTACACAGCTGATGAAGAAGAACCGTTTTTAAATCATCAAATAAAATTACCTAAATGACTACATGTTGTATTCTTCAAATATTAAAGTAGAATGTATAATTAGACATACATATTAGAACTCATACACATCTCATCCTCGCCACTTGTGTCCATGAGAGAGATTAGAGTGAAAATGTGTGTGTGTGTGTGTGTGTGTGAACCTCTCGAAATTTATGAGACAGTCTGAAGGCTTTTATGTTTTACCTCTTCATTTGAACCTTACCTCCTGCAGAGTGTGTGTACATGTGAGTGATTTGGGGTTGTCTAAACCAGCAGCCATATGTATGCCTCAGGTAATCAGTATAAGAGTACTGTATAAGAACATAAAAAATTCAGCAATGAGGCCACACACCTAAGAGCCCCACATGTTAATCTTACTTCTGTCAGTACTTTGTAAGTGTGCATGCATGTGTGTGTGTGTGTGTGTGTGTGTGTGTGTGTGTCAGAGAGAGAGAGAGAGAGAGAGAGAGAGATGGGATATAACACCAGCAACATTAGACAATCAGAAGATAAAGGACACAGACACCCTTTCTAACACACACCACCACAGAGCAAGAGATTAGGCTTCATCGGACCCGTCTGGCTAAAATTCATAAAATTCATACCAAAGACTTAATGCATTTTACACACAATTACGCCTGCATCATATGTGAATGAATCTGTTGAGTGTGAGTCCCAGGAATCATCTCTCTGACTCTGGTCAGTGCTCTCTAAGCATGTTATTTATATACTACATATTAATGTTATAATATAGATATAATTGCGATGCAATGCAATGGTGAAACGGTGCTGCCTCACAGCTCCAAGGTCCCCCGTTCAAAACAGAGCTTGGGTTACTGTAAAACAAGCCTGTGGGATCTGTGATATAGCGTCAGAGGGACCAAAATTTATTTATTTAATTTCAATTTATTTCATTTCACAGTCTATCTTCCTTAATGTTATATAAGTCTCTGTTCCTGTCTCAAGTCACTTGGACAGGGGTATTTGGCTTCATAGTGCTCTCAAACCTAACCAGTTTCCCATTCCTAGATAAAGAAAAGCATCCCCACAATATGATGCTACCACCATCATGCTTCACTCTGGGGATGGTGTTCTCAGAGTGATGGATTAGGTTTCTGCCAAATGTAGTGCTTTGTGCCAAGGTCAGAAACGGTACTTCAACATTATGGGCTTTTTTTGTGTGGAAAAGTTCAAGGGGGGTGAGTGTTTTCCAGCAAAATTGGGCCACTTTTGTACACACACGCACAAACACACACACAGACACACACATATATACAGTTAGGTCCGGAAGTATTTGGACAATGACAGAGTTTTTGTGATTTTGCCTTTATACACCACCACAATGGATTTGAAATAAAACATCAACATCAAGGGAATGGACCGCACCTGGTCAATTAACTTCTTGTCAGTCAATTGTCCAAATACCTTTGAGCCCCTGAAAATGGAGGTACTTTGCTTAAAATGGCTGTAATTCCTAAACGGTAAGTGACATATTTTTGTGGAACCTCTTAAAATAAAGCTGAAAGTCTACACTTCTATCACATCTTGATTGTTTTATTTCAAATCCATTGTGGCAGTGTATAAAGTCAAAATCACAAAAACTCTGTCCAAATACTTCCAGACCTAACTGTATATATAAGTGCAATAATATAAGACCATTTTAGGATCTTGGTGAAAGAATTAGGTTGTTTAGGCAACTTTGTCACACAGATCTGGCAACCCCGATCATAGCACCAAGCTTAATAATATCACACAGGGCAAATTCAGATATATTGGGACAGTTTTTGAATTTCCACCTTTCCAGCCATTAATAAAACAAAATATGTTACATATATTTTGTAATAAATATAATACATATAAATATAAAAATATAACACGTTACATTTCTGAAATCCTCAAGGTGCTGATTATCTACATGTGAAGGAAAAATATTTCTATCATATATCATTTGACTTTTACTTATCAGGCCAGAAAACAAATCCTGCTACGTTATCCTGTCCCAGTTTACCTGATGTCCCAATATACCTGAATCCACCCCACATCAAATTCTCCCATTCAAACAGGACTGTTTTGACATTGCAAAGTTTCTAATTGTTGTAGGGGAATACACTGTAATTATACACTGCATTTTCTTTTCATCACGCATAAACCACATGAATATTGAATGCATTAATAATAGCCATATTAATGAACTCCCCACACTTTAGCCTACTTGTTCTGATACGAGTTTCCACTTTTAAACTGCAATTTGTCCTTCATGCAGAACTCATTTAGAAGGCGATACTAAGGTCAGTTTGTGTGATGAGCTACAACCTTCAAAGTTCATTTAAAAAAAGTTAATATCAGACGCATTGTGAGCGCATTTTGCAGTCATGCTTTGCACTGCACCTCCTCATGGATGTACACCTGGACCTCAGTAACACAACACACCACAAAGCCTATACAGTAAGCCAACATCTCTGCTGCAAGTGGATGTGTGCGCGCGCTCTGTGTGTGTGTGTGTGTGTGTGCTACCCAGCCCAGTTCCAAACTTACGAGCGTTCCGCCGGTCTCCCGTCTCACGGAGTGTATTCCCAAATCCGAAATTCCCACAAACACACAGCCGAAAGCGTGTTTAAATTACTTTTGGACAAAACACGTCTAAAAGTGCACGTATGTGGTACCGGCGCAGCAATCATACACGGTGCGCATCCTACTGCTCCTTTTTTGAGAACTCTGTGTGTGTGTGTGTGTGTGTGTGTTTTGGAAATACCATGCATCTCTCGTGCCAAAAGATTGTCAAAAAACGCGCAGGGGGGTATAAAAAAACCTTTCCTTCTGTTCCTAAGCGCGCGCGCGCACACACACACACACACACACACACACACACTGTGTAGTCCAAGCAGCAGCCGTTTGTAGGACTCGCTCCAAACTGAAGTGATAAAAGTTATTTCACACCACTAAGTAGTCATCAGTGAAGGGGCCTACCTAACAGGCACTTCCATTTTAAGATGGAAGACAGTCATTACAGAACAGTGGGAAGTCTACATAGACTATGAGTTATTAAAGAGTAATTAAAAGTAATTCTAAGGAACCACATTACACCAAGGCACAAGCTAAAGGGTGGTCTGCAGTGAAATAGTCCAGAATCGAAAGTCCAGAGGGTGGCACTGGACCTGATTCAACAGTCTACATCACAGACATCATCTACAACACACTTAACAAAACTCTTATCCAGCCTGAAACACACCAAACCTTTTGTTCGACTCTGCCAAGGTAGGCTGGATCAGGTCTGACTACACCCCCTGGACTTTTTGTTCTGCATTGAGGGGTACTTGCCTGGTGTGTCTGTGGCCACCCATGAAATATCATTATCCACTCCAGTGGCCACCCCAGAAATTACAGGTTGTTGATCACTGTGAATATGGGAAACATACTGTGTCCTTAGAGCTCAATTAAGGGGCATGTGGTGGGACGTTGTTTCCCCGTAAAGAAAGGCAATTAAATCTATTCTAATCCAGTCTATTTTTAAGATTTACACAAATAGATATATCTGGGTCCCTGGAGGACTAGTGGTAAGGCCATAGCGTTCTCATCGCTGTGGCCCGGGCTCGATTCCCAGCCAGAGAACCAACAACAGTCACTGGGGTTCCATGCAACAGTGCGCTCTCAGTGCCGGTCCCAAGCCTATATAAAAATTGGGGAGGGCTGTGTCAGGAAGGGCATCCAGCACAAAAACTGTGCCCAATCAAATATGCGGACCAATGATCCACTGCGGTGACCCCTAATGGGAGCAGCCAAAAGAGGAACAACACAAATAGACATATTTGGATTTCTTAACTGCTTAATCACATTTTAAAACTTGTCCAATTGACTACAAACCATCTCAAACTACAGGTGTGTGCAGAACTGTTTTCTTCTCCCACCCACTCCCAAAGAAATTCTGACCAATTCCGCCTGTCCTGCTGAAAGTTTGAAGTATAATCCCCCCGCAGTTATACATGGGTGGAAAAAAAAACAACGTAAATTGTTAGTATGGCTAAACAACAACGAAAGCTTCAGTACGCCTTTGTAAAGATTCTACAACTCTCTGAAAATATATTAGAGGGATGAAAACTATTCTTCCAAAAGGTATTCTCTCAATTGGTGTTTTGATGATGGCAGTGGAGAGTGCTTTCTAAAACATTGATTCAAGTTCTTCCACAGGTGTTCAGTTTGGTTGAGATCTGATGAGAGGACTAGATAATTCCCTGATGAGTTGAATCATGTTCTACATGTGTACAGGACTGGTATTGTAAGTCACAAACTGCATTCCAAATGGCATACTTCTGCATTTGGCAGATACCCTTATCCAGAGCAAATTACATTTATCTCAATTATACAACTGATGACTTGAGAGTTAAGGGCCTTGCTCAAGGGCCCAGCAGTGGCAGCTGCCAACACTTTGGCAGTTCTGGGATTTGAGCTCACAACCATCCAGTTAGTAGCCCAACAGTTTAACCACTGAACCACCACTTCCCTTCATTTAGCATTTGCAGAATGACTAATAAATATCATTCTGAATAATTTATAAAATTATATTTGGTAACTATATAGTTAGTATTTCCTGCATATTTATGTAAATGTACTGAAATTGTTACTCTTGCACTCTGTCTTGCATTTGTTGTCATATTGCACTTTATGTGAAAGGGTCCCTGTATTGGCTTATGTGTGCACCATTTTAATGCTCCTGTTATTCAATGTATAAAGGCCTTTAAAGGCAAGAAATGCTTCCACATCACTGCTATTAGAAATAACACAGAAATGTTCCCATCTTGCTAAAAAGTCTCCGTAACACTTAAAACATTACACTTCATTCACTCATACAAAAATTAAAAAAAAAAGCCAAAATTAACAATATGCAGGTCTTGTAAACAATGAAAAATAACAGAAATAAATATTAATAATTATTTTAGATGATTTATTATTCTAGGAAAGGATGGAAATACATGAAGCATAATTTCCAAAATTCACTCACCTTTTTAAAAACACGTGGCTCCACAGTGATCTTGTGCCGTACAGCAGATGTGAGTGGCTTGGCGATTTGGGCCGCCTCTCCATAATTTCTTTTAAACCACTTTTATGCTCAGTATTTTTTTTTTATATAAAATCGTGGTGAGTTTTTGAATCACCCTGTGAACAGGCTAGAGAGGAATGGCATGCAAAGGCGGGTTCACACCATGCTTTTAACACTCAGTCCTTTCCTGTGGAACTCAGGAAGTGCGATCCCAAAACCGGAAATCCTTTGAGTGCTGTTCCTACATTCACAAGAAATTGTATATAACACTTGTCGTTTCCTGTGGTATTTGATTATCTAATATGCAATTTGGGCCACAATTTTTAAAGATCATATATTAATTAAGTTACAGACATTGTGGAGTTACAATAATGCATACGTGTGGTGCTTGTTACAAAGAAAGAGAGAAAGACCGAGAGAGGACCAGTGTATGATTAATTACAAATAGCTCCTGATCTGTTGCAGTGTGGTAGAAAGACACTTCACACACACTAAAGCTAGCATTTGCATGTACAACTCATTCCATGTTCCTTCTTATGGATGTTTCAGGATTATTCTAGCAATCCTCTCCATGTGGTGAATTAAATAGTAATTAATGGCTTGCTAAGTCAACTGCCTGCTTACCATACCATCCCACAGCTAGCTAAAGCTTCTAAAGATGATGAGTGTCAAAGTGAAGCCAGCAGTTCAGTCAAATTCAACTTTGTTCCTGTTTGTTGCTAACTTTTAAGTGCAATATCTGCATAATCTACATAACATCTAATAATCTGATCATTATCTGATTGCATTAGTTACCACATAAGTGGTCACATAATGTGATTATTTTATTAAAGTCATTATTGGATTTTGATTAAATCCAGAATCAGATGAATCTTAGCTCAATAATGAGATTGTTAAGGGTAAATATACTGTTATTTTGTTATCTTTCATTTTCTTACATCCGAGCATGTGAACCAGAAAGAGAAAAAAGCTTGTCTCTTCTTCGAATGAAAATAGGAACCAAGTGGAAAGACAACATTATGTGCTATTTGCAACCATAAAAACTGCCAAATAAATATTTACCAGTAAAGAGATTCAAAAGCAGCTCATTAGCAGCCAGTAACAAAGAGTCAGTTGTGTTTCCAATGAACAAAGAAATACAACATGTTGGCTCAAAATATTTAAAATGTTAATGTAGTGTTAACATAGTTAACTACAAGATTCTTGAGGTATAAAAATAGAATGAAACCAAAAGGTCTGCGACCAAATATCTGATAAATTGTGGTCTTACATTTATGGAGCTAGACTGCAAGTTATCAAAAAGATCTTACTAATAATAACTAAACTAGGTCTCAGTCCTTGTCCTTGTTAATATACTGTAGATACACTACCAGGGATGCTTGCAAAGGCGTTTTGCATTGGGGTTGCTGGAATTTTAAGCAGCATACATGTGAGAAATAAGAGAAAATGTGGAGAAAATATTGGTTGGGGAGATTCGGGCATTGGGGATTGTCTGTTCAGCAATGATAGCAAGAAGTCATGTTTATTTTTATTTATTTATTTATTTTTTTGTTCATAACAACCATTTGTGTATGATGTGCCAAATAATTTCTTATACAAGCATTCTTGTGCTTATGTTTTGCCCTCACCCTCCCACATAGATGGATGATTAAATGGGTTCAGGGCTCTACTGCATATGAAAACAGATGAATTTGATTTCCTTTCGGGCTCTCACTGGCTGTTTTTCAAACATGCTTGAAAATATCGGAGCCTTCGCAATTGCTAGAAGACTGAGACCGTTGGTCGCCACAGGAGCACACAGTGAGTAGTTGCCGAATTCAGGGGTGTAGCCCCAAAATTAGTTGGAGACAGGGAAAACAGGTCTAAAATCATGTTATGTGCACTAAAGGAATCCTGAAAGTCAGCACCTTCACTTCCCACAAGGCTGATTTTGCTCTCTAGGACTCCCAGGCACAGATGGGAGTGGCATCATCAGGATTTGAACTTGTAATCTCCAGACAATAGCGTGAATGCTTTTCTCTTGCACCACTCAGGAGCCCCGTTATGATTTCTTATCTGACCAGACCTGAAAGGCAAGAAAACAGGAAACTAGTACTAGCTCAACCAGACAGATTTTTTGGGGTCATTCTGAACAATCAGACAAATAATATAATGGAAGTAAATCTGTATAAGCATGGGAGGATGAGAGAAAGAGAGAGACGATGAGAGAGGGTGAAGAGACAGGGAATGCACATAAGGAAAGATGGGAGAATAAGAAGTTAGATGAAGTGAAAAGACAGAGACTAGAGACAGAGATAAGAGCAAGAGTAGGACAGAAAATATTGTGAGAGAAAGAAATGAGAAAAGGGAAACTGAAGTGGAGTTTTCACCCACCTGTTTTATATGGCTTTTCATTTTGTACAGAAGAAAATGGGAATGAGAATACTAGTTCTGTTTCCTCACATTCCAGACAGCCAGGGCCCTTTCACTCAAAACTAGTGCTCATTTTATTACTGAGTACAAATTACAAAGTAGTCATCTCATAATGAAGACCCCACAATGGCTAACCTATAAAAGGACCCCCATATGTCACGTGCATGACGATGAAGGATGAAGAAGTGGATTTAAACATGCTAAATAGCACTCTAATCTCTTGTTTCTTTCGTGCTCATTTTGTTATTGTAGATTCTGCACTATCAAGGGAGCTGACACACACCTTGGGTGATGGTAATCCTAGTGGTTGGCTTATTACTTATTCTTGGCACAATTACGAATGCATTATTCAGAATGAACAGATAATGTGTTCTATACAGATACTAATACAGATAATAGGAGGCACACTATGTTTTTTTAGAAAGCTTGCCAGAAAAATTCATAGCTTGTGGGACAAATATTAACATGAACGTGTAGCAGTCTTTAGTAACTGGGTTACTAGGGTTGTGGTGGTTCAAATTACACTACTAGTTTGTTTGGGAAATAGAACCAGCTACACTTGTTTGTTATTTGCAAGCAGGTACAAACAAAAATAATAATAACAATAATACTATAATGAGGTAGTGATGTAGAAATGCCAGAATTCACAGACCATGCAAACATTAAGAATACCTTTATTGTCATTGTACAAGTACAACAAGATTCATTATACAGTTCCCCATCAAGCTCAGTAGAGGCCGTTAATATTTTTAGCCTGCTTCACTGACTCGTCCATAACACATCCATCATCAGCAGTCATGTTACAGACAGTATAGAGTGTAATGAATGTAAACAAGGTGGATTATTTACTCTGTCATCCTTTTTTCCCCTAAACTGAGAGCATGTTTGATATTCTGAGGAAGCCAGTTGGGCATTATAACTATCCTTGCCAGACTACAGAAGTCTTTTCACCTAACCTATCCAACTGCATAGGACAATACCCCTCCCTGTCAACAGAGGGTAACCTTGCCTGAGTTCTAGCTCTGTTTATTCCTGTTCCTGTTTGTTTTCATTTATGGTTTATGGACTTTAAAAGCATCAAACACACACACACACACACACACACACACACAATGCAAAGTCTTGCCTCTGTATCAGTGTGCGTTCTAAGCCTTGTTACATT